CGCAGCTGACTACGAGAATAGTCACAGAACAGGCGAGCTTAGTGCAAGGTACTAACGAAATCTCGGAGGCGCAAGAGCTTGTTAAGTTGCCACGCCTGGAAATGATCAAGTTTGATGGGAAAAAAACAGCATGGCCAAGGTTTTGGCATCAGTTCGAGACATCCGTACATAACAGAGTGAACATGCCGAAGAATCAAAAATTTAATTACCTTCTGGCGTCTCTGAGCGGGGAGGCTGCGTCCCTCATAGAAGGTTTGCAGTTTTCTGATCAGAATTACGAGCATGCAGTCGCTCTTTTGAAAGAAACCTTCGGACGAGAAGATAATTTAAAAGAGACCTACATAAAAGAACTTGCAAATTTGGAAGCGGTGAAAAGTCCTAAATATGTAGATAGGTTGAAGAAACTCTTCCAAAAGTTGCAAGTGAACACACGAGCATTGCAGTCATTAGGAGTGGAAATGGGTAGTTACGCCACAGTGATAGCTCCTGTTGTAAAATCTGCGCTACCGGCGGATATGACGATCGAGATGAAGATGAAGGAGTTAAAGAAAGACGACAACAGACCAGCAACTATGGAATCGGACTCAGCGTCAAGAGACAGCACGAGCAGTTTGAAAGAAATTATGGAGTTTTTGAACATATATATACGCAGCAGAGAAGAAACTCGGCAGAGAAGAAAAATACGACGTTACCCAGTCACCGCACAGTATAAGGAGGACTAGAACATCTGTGCTTCAAAGCACCTCGATGAATAAATGCATCTTCTGTGAGATGACTGGACACTACACGGAAGATTGCAAAAGAAGCATTATTATGCAACAGAAGAAAGAAGCCTTGCAACGGGAACGAAGGTGCTTCAGATGCACCAGACCTCACAACACGGCGAAGATCTGCCGTGCTAACGTACGCTGCAAAACATGCAAGGGAAGGCACGCGACATCCTTGTGTCGACCACCTACGCCTACAGGAAAGTCAGCACAGCAGCAAAGCGGTAATGATGTTGAGCAAGTGCGTAAAAGCGCGCGACCTGACCGGTTAGACCCCAGCAAGTCCTGCAACATGCACGCACAGCAGTCTGATGAACACAAGTCCATACTACTGCAGACAGCCTTTTCGTGGACGGAGGGACAAGACAGCGGGTGCTACTCACGTTTTCTGCTCGACAATGGAAGCCAGAGGACATTCATCCTCAAAAGACTGTCAAGAAAACTAGCGTGCAAGGTAAAAAGATCCGAAAGGATTACCGTAGGATCATTTGGAGGAGGAGAGATGGAACTAGACATGAAAGTCGTCGAGGTCAGCGTGAGGAAGGATCCCACATCAGAACCAGTCACGATTGAGGTGCTGGAGATAGAAGTTATATCCTGTGACGTGCTACCATCGCCACCGTTGACAATACACGAAAGAGCAAGATCGATGGGAATTTGTTTGGCTGATGACAACGAGAAGACGGACAAGGAAAGAAAAAATATGGAAACTTCTATATTAATTGGAGCAGATTATTACTGAACCGTAGTCACTGGTTGCATTCTCGAGATCCATCCAATAGTAATGGCAATAGAAACAATATTGGGATGGTCGGTCCAAGGTCCTGTAGGACTTCATTCTGGGCCGATGAAATCCTCGACGGTTATGGCACTCAAGGTCAGTGCCAAGTCGAACACGACTGTGGACAAACTGCAGCGATTCTGGGACTTGGAAAACATGAGCATCAGGGAGGAACCAGCAACAAAGATGAGCGATGAACATGTGCTAGAGTACATCCGACAAACAATGGACTTCAAGGCAGGAAGATACCAAGTACGGCTACCATGGAAGGAAAACGTGACATTGGACGACAACAACACCATTGCAGAGAAGAGGCTTATCCAGGTGACCAACAGTGAATTATGGTGGGAAGGTCCCACGTGGATCAAGAATGAAAAACAAAGGCCTGATTATGACATCACGCAAGAATCGGACAGTGATGACAACAAAGACGAGGAAAAGACAGTGGCATGCTTAACTACCACCACGAGTGAAGAAAAGATAATTGATGTGAGCAGATTTGGATCATACAAGAAAGCGTTACGAGTTACCGCGTGGGTGATGCGTTATATAGGAAACCAAAGAAAAGAAAGGAAAACAGGTTCGCTGACAAGAGAAGAATTAGACAAAACAGAGTTTGTGCTGATAAAGCAGGAGCAGAAAACGCTACAAAATGCAGTGACACGAATATATGACAACATGAATCTGTACGGAACGAACATCTTCGAAGATGATCAAGGTGTCCTGAGAGTAAAAGGGAGGCTTCAGTGGAGTGATTTGAGCTTTAATGAGAAGCATCCTATTATTTTACCAAGAGAAAGTCACTTTTCAGAAGTCCTAGTCCTGAACGCGCATCAAGTAACAATGCACGGTGGCGTTGCGGCAACACTGACACATCTAAGAACGAAGTTTTGGATTCTGCGTGCCCGACAGATGGTGAAATATGTGATAAAGAAATGCATCACATGTAGGAGATTCAATTCTAGACCAATGGCACAAGAAATTCCACCACTACCAGCTGACAGGATAACACTGACGAGGCCATTCGACACAGTTGGTATAGATTTTGCTGGACCGCTAAATGCTCGAGAGGAGAAAGGCGAAAAAGTTAAAAAGTTTTACATTGTGATATCTACGTGTGCAGTAACAAGAGCCATACAACTAAAGTTGGTCAAGAGGATGTCATCAGAAGCGTTTATACAAGCATTCCGAAGATTCGTAGCTAGAAGAGGATTGTGTACAACTATTTACAGTGATAATGCAAGAGCATTCAAGAAATCTGAGAAAGAGATGAACAAGATATTAAAGATGGAAGATGAAAGGGTTCAACAGTATACCAGTAACCTGAAAATAAAATGGAAGTTTATTGTAGAGTTAGCTCCATGGTGGGGGACTGATCAGAAGCTTTAAGACATCCATGGCAAAAACTATAGGTGCTCGACTTTTGGGTGAAGAAGAACTACGGACTGTGGTTGTTGAAGCAGAAGGAGTACTTAACAACCGGCCTCTTATGTGTATGACGATCCTAACGAGCCACAACCCATCACACCGGCGGACGTTATAGGAGGCAGGCAAGCAATGAACAATCAGGAAGAAAACAGACTCGGAGAATACAGTTTGCTGAATTACTAGAGTGCAAGAAAACGGGCAATGATAACATGGTGGACCAGATGGAAAAAGGAGTACCTGAGGGAGCTTAAGTGTGCCAGCAGAAAAACAGAGCGTCACACAAATGTACAAGAAGGAGATGTACTTCTGCTTGGAGAAGCACGAAAAAGAACTCTGTGGAAACTCTGCAAGGTCGAAAAGATTTTCCCAGGCAAGGATGGACTAGTGAGAACATGCTTGCTTCGTACACCTGAAGGAAAATTAGTCAAGAGGCCAATTCAACTGTTGTATTCGCTCGAAGGTTGCTTCGGTTGAATCTGGCCGGCGGGAAGATGTAGAAAACAGATTGAAGATGGAGCTTGAAGGCGAGGAAGAAGTAGCCAGGGGCACGCTCTGCATATTTTTTTTATTTTCCTGTTCTGTCAACAATAAACCGAAGACGTATCAGTCCTGCGGTCTCTCTGGTCCTTCTGAAACACCCAGCATCTCTTGTCACGTTCGTGGGTTCGACTGCCATTGGCGAAACATTTCTCTGCCATCTGATCTCGTGTTTTCTTTAATGTAATTTCTGTGAATGGAATACATCAAGTGCTAAAAGCGCTTGCTGTGCCCCCAAAACTGATCCATTTCTGACTTACAATCTTTCAAAAGGTTGTAACGCTCTCCTTCATTGCTTCCATTATGCAATTTCGGCCGTTTCTGGGCAGGTGCTGACTTATACAAACGATGGTTGTGTTTTCAGTTTCGGGAACTCACAAAAACCACTTCCATGTTGTTGGCAAAAAGACGAAGGATTCTTATAGGTTTCAATATCCACAAAAGTTACAAGTTTTGTCAATGCGCTCACTTGCGCAGTTTGCTTTTGCAGCAGACCGATTTCTGTCTGCTGCACGCGAGCCCGATGGTAACTCGCGTGACCTCAATGCCACATCAGAATTCGATTCAGTAAATGTCAGCACGTCATACGAAAAGTTATTTATGAGTTGAGACTAAAACCTTAATGTGTGTGCGGCATCTCAATAACCTGCGCAGTGAGGCGATGCCGATTGTTAAAAGCGACTTTTCCCCTCTGTGTTTCCATTTGATGCCACTTGAATAATTTTTTAGCATGCTCATGCAACTGTGCACGCATTTCCAGGTCACTAAGGTTTTGGAGTGACGTAGTTTTGTCTCAGAAATGACTACTTGGCACAGCCGTGCGTATGTCCAGCGACGTTTATGGTGACCTGACTTTGCTTTTGCATCGAGAGAGTAATGACGCTGGGAAAAGCGACCCATGACACAAGCGCACACGATGTCGTACAAATACTACAAGGAGCCACGTCATCTCATATTTTCAAAAACATCTGAAAACCTCAAAATACAAATGGCTTACAGCAACTCCTGTGAAATCATGATGAGGGCCGCTTTCACATAACAAGAGGAGGGCTGGCAGCATCGCTATAGATTCTACGGACTGCTGGACGGAAGGTACATCTGTGTTTAGAGCCTTTCAGATGGAAAAACACTGCTTTTAAAATGACTACATGCTTTTGAATTTAACTACTGTAGCTACAAACACTATGAAGAGAGCTTTCTGGTGTGCCATAAGAAATAAAATGGGGTGAGAGAAATCAGTTGTCAGCCCCTTAAAGGTTTTCTTTAAAAAAATTTACCTTTCTTTTCTGAAATATATTTGCCTGAAGAACTTAAATCAGCAATTGAAAATATAAAACTTAGAAGCACATTTGGCTGAAAATTTTTCATGAGTGATGGTCTTTGTGGACAGATCTATTTATACTGTTATTTTTTAAAATAAACAACCAGTTGAAAGATGGCGCTTGTCTTGTTGCCTGTTCCTTGTCCGTGAGCGTTAGCGCTATGCAAAATTTTGAAGGAACCTTGTTTTGCATCCACTTGCCTACTGCATAGCAGTTGCCAACCAAATACCAACAAGGAAACTAGTGCTGATGACTTGTTTTATACAGAGTGGCTAGGCAATGTTGGCCAGATAGTCTTTCACCTCTCCGGGCGATAGGCGACGGAAGCCAGCAGCATCGCACAGCCCAACTTCAATATTGTCAGCAGTCATCTGGCCTTCAAAGCCCTCCTTAAGAGTCAAGATGGCAGTGTGCACAGCATCTTCAAGTTCCAGTTCTTCACTGTAGCGTTTCTCCAGAAACGCCTTGCCGCTCATCTGATTCTTGCCCATGGCAGTAGCCTTCCAAGGGAAGTAGGCACCCTTCACACAAGTAAAAAAAAGACAGATACACAATAGGCATTTAGAAAAAAAGTGCAACATCAATTTTCCAGCTAAAGTTACCTCCAAAAAGACATCACTTAAAGACTTCTGTTCATGAAAAATATGGCCAGAAGTAAAAAAAAATAAAGATCCATCCCCTTGTTCTTTGCATCTGTCCAAGCCTTTTATGAACGTGACCAAGTAAAAGCACCCTTTTTAAAATCTGCCAGTCTGTTGGGTGAATTTTAAGTAAATCCTGTTATTCATATTACTATAAACTAATTCTGCTCTAGTGAAACTGCCAAGCCTGTCATATAAATATAAAAATAAGAAATGACAGCAAAACATTATAATTTATATATAGTATTTTGCAGTAGCTCACTATTATTATAGCATATTAGAATTACTGTAATCATTAGGCCCCACACATGAACATTGATAATATTCACGAGGCAAATCTGAAGGAGAATCTGATACCCTTATATCCCATGACAGCACTGTGCTGTGCATTTATATATTAATGCGACAGCGATTTTATGGACACACCCGGCAAGCATTTCGCCATAGTTGCCAGCACCATTGAGCCACTGCGTACATCAGTGACACTGCCAAGATCTGCTAAATTGGAGCAATTTTTGGAGCAGCAAAACTTTCATTTCGGAGCACTTTGGAGCAGCAAAACTTTCCATTTTGGAGCACTTTAAAGCAGCTAACTTCACATTTTGGAATACAGAGAAGAAGCAAGTTGCACTGCAAGAGCGAAATATTTCGATTCATTGCAAATTTCATGAAGCCAATCATTTTAGGAGCACTGCCTATTTCACTCATTGATGCAAAAATAATGCTGTCATGCAGTTCAGCATTATGGAACGAATTGTTCAGCAATGATTTTCATAGCAATACAATACAGGTTCAATCAAATTGTACTTTATAAAACGAAACTCTAAATGCACCTATGCAGACAAGGTAGACAAACACTGCGACATACAATGCCCCATCGCTAATGACACACTGTACACATACATTTCCCTAAGCCGACGCCAAGGAGAAAGATTTTATTTTCCCTTCGCTATCGATTATATCGCTGGGCGTAACATGATGCGACTCAGCCAGCCTCAAAAAGCTAACAGATACTCCCTTGCCTCTCTTTGTGCTGAAGCAAGAGCATCAATAGAGTGCTTTCAGACCATCAATTGCGCATGCGACGAGTTCCCCAGATATGGAAATAGGCTTCAATTGAGCTTTTGTGAAAGTGTAAAGATGGACTACATGATTCAACAATTTCATTTTCCTTTTGCAGCGAAGTTGTATATGTTTATATCATTCTGTCTTACAACAAAAAAAACCCCTTGTGCTCTTTAGAAAAGACAAAGGAAAAAAAATAACACCTCACAGGGTACCTGAAGCAATCACCTATGACTACTCAAAGGCAAAAGCTATTGTGCTTTTATTGTGAATAGATATTATATGAACATTCTCGACTGCCATCGCCATCAAGTTTTGTGTAATGTCCAAATCGATAACTGTATATTTTACACACGAATAAACCCTCGAGATCGCGGCTGAAGTAGAAATAAAAAATTGGCAGATCCCACGTACAGTGGGAATTGATGATATGCGAAGTACGAATGAGAAATGTTGATATACCACTCTAAATTAGGACAATGTTATGCGATGAAAGCAAATGATGCCGCACATGACTTCCATGTCAAGATTATCATGGTTGTTAGTGTCTTACCTTCGTCATCTATTCACGTCATGTGCTACCAAGTTTAGTATATGTGGAGCTAGCGAAACGACCGTGAGCACGCTATGAGCGTGGTATGTTGTCATGTTCTTGCATGACATGCTTGTCAGGGTTATCATGCTTGCACCAGTCATATATTTTCGTCATCTATTGACGTGACGTAACACCAAATTTGGTATATGTGGAGCTAGCAAAACGACCGCGAGCGCATCATGAAGGGCCCAATACACTCTAATGTAGCGTTGACGCACGCGCACACTGGGCACAGTGACATTACGTTAGGAAAACGCGAGCACTCTATGCGAGCACTCGCTACGTTAGCAAATGCGGCAAACGCCACAAAATGCGACAAGCTGCATTTTGCCCCGATGCGTTCCCGAGACAACACTGCCTCTTCCTCTTTTTGTGACGGAGGAATGCCGGACGCGCTGAAACACGCATGCGTCAAAGCAACGCACCACAGCACACGCCTGCGAGTATATGGCACGACCGGCGCCTGGCGTGGCAGCGCCGGCGTGACGCGAAGAAATAAACGCCAGTGAGCACGCGCATCGCGTCCCATCGAATTGTATTGGTGCTTTGACTGTAGCTTGCAGTCATGTTCTCACATGACACGCATCTCATGATTATCATGTTTGCACCAGTCACATACCTTGATCAACCACTGACGTCATGTAGTACAGTCTAGCCCACATATAAGAACCCCACTTGAAACGAACAATATCCGCATGACCATAAAAATATACATTGGTTCAATAGCACAAAATATCGCAACGAATGTCTCCTAGCGCCCTTGATCGGTTATAGCGAACAGAGTCAGTGGTCTGCCGACTTCCCGGGAAACAACTTTCAACCACCGATCAGGCGTCGGCGAAGTGCCCATTCATTCTTATTGTTAAATGCCAACCCTGCCTCTGCAACCCTCTCCGTGCCCCGACTGCTTTTTGTTACGCACCTCTCCGTCCTTTGTCCCCCCCCCCCCCCCCCTACTCTGAGCACCCTGCATCGCCAGACGTGGCCCGTGTTTTCACCCTGCCACCGATCTTTGGAAGACCGGTCGGCCATCTACACTGTTTTTGATCGTTGGAGTCACCGGCCTAGAGTGACCAGACCATTTGCCAACGTCATTTGCCACCGACTGTATCCGATAGTCTGCATCTAGTGCACGCGCGTACACCACCCCACTGACTCTCAATTTGCGATTCGTTTCGTGTTTAGGACTTGTTCTCGCTCACTTCGCACTCAACTCAGCATGCCTTCCGCGCGTGCGGAAGCGCGAAAACGGCTGTTAATTTGCACGGAACGAATCGCGAAATGTTGGAGTTCGGGGAGCCACGCAAACCCGCCGGGGCAAAAGATTTTTTGACCCCAGCCACCGATTCTTCGAACACCGCCACGCGCACCGATCCAAGGGGTCGTGCTATGGCTTCCGCGCCCAGGCACTCGTTTCAAGTTTTCCTACATGCGAGTTTCGCGGACCTTTCAAGCAAACTATCCAACCTGCCTCCTTCCCGTGTTTTGGCTTTCAAGGTCGGCCTTCCGCCGCATCCTCCCCTCTCTTTATCGCAACTCCTTGCCCTTCTCTCGCAAATATGCTCACCTCTCTTGATCCCTTTCGCCCGTCTCCACCGCTCCACGTCCCAAGCCACGCTGGCTCGAATCAGTTTCATTTTCTGACTGGAAACGGGCCCAGAGCTGTTCCTCGCGTTCTGGCATGTGTGTCGTGTGTGCGGATCTTGCTCGCTCTTGGTGTGCGTGTGTGGTCGCGATGGCAGACGGGGGGGACTAGCACGCTTTTTCCTACCACTCAACAAAAGCGTCGAAAGTGCGACCGCTTGGCTTGAGCGTATTCCGCGCGTTAGGTGCCGTGTTGCGGAGCGCTTGCTCATAGCTATTGACCACCTGGCAGCCAACTTGTCGCTTCGGGCGTCCCGGTATTCATCTGTGGAGATGGTAAATATTTCGTGGGCGGCGGTGACGGCTAAGTGCGCGTGAAGCTGTTTTTGCGAGGCCGACTTCGGTGACGTCGGGCCCGATGCCGAGCCTGAAGCTTCCGAACAGGACCAATGCGGCGGCGATTTATGGTAGCGCGTCGTCGACTCCAACCTGAGAGAGCGGATGGGGCATCTGTTGGGATGGTTCAATTAAGGTTGACGATGATGCCGACACTGTGGAATCGTTCACGGATTGGGGCAGTGTGAATGAAATACATGGTGAGAGCGATTTGGAGGGATCGGATTGCCAGAACGACGAAACTTTGGAGCCAGTGCCTCATGCAGCTTATGCAACGGGCCTTGGCGAACGAGCACCCTGCCGTTTTAAATGAACTCGAGACCGCCCTTATCGCTTCTGCTTTTCGAAACACGTGCATCACGGACTTTGTGGGGCAAAAAAAAAGTGTGTTTTCACTCGCAACTTTTTTTTTAAAGCTGTGTTTCATTTACTACGAACTTCGGGATACAGCGAACGGATGCGGCGTCCCGCTCAGGTTCACTATAAGCGGGCTCAACTGCACCAAATTTGACATATATGAAGCTAGCGAAAAGATGGCGAGTGCATTATGAGTGTGGCATGTAGTCATGTTACATGACGCGCATGTCGTGATAATCACGTTTGGATGTGTTACTTGCCTGTGTCGTCCGTTCGCATCACATAATACCGAGTTTGGTACATATGAAGTTAGCAAAACGGCCGCGAGCACATCATGAGGATAACATGTAGTCAAGTTGTTACATGACGCGCATCTCATGTTTATCATGTTTGCACCAGTATCGTACCTTCGTCATCCATTCACGTCCCGTAATACCAAATTAGGTATAAGTGAAGCTAGCATAACGGCCACCAGCGCATGCATCATGAGCGTGGCATGTTGTCATTTTGTTACATGACATGATTATCATGTTTGCACCAGTCACACACCTTGGTCATCCATTCACGTACCAAAACTCTAAATTTGGTATATGTGACGCTAGCAAAACGGCCACGAGTGCATCATGAGTGTGGCATGTAGTCATGTTACATGACACACATGTCAATGATTTCCATTTCCATGTGTTTGTCGCGTGTGTTCCTCATGCAATCATATACCATACCAATTTTGCAACATGCCATGTGAACAAAAACACCGCAAGAGCTACAGAACCATGAAAAGTAAATCTTAAAATATATGACATACATATCACGATTTTCATGCTATTACAAGTCAAATGTGCTCTTTATACAGTCACGTTATGCCATACCAAGTTTAGTATCG